CTCTCTCTATCTAAGTTCATCTCTCTCTCTCTCTTCTCTCTCTCTCTATCTAACTATTTCTATCTCTCTTGCCTCTCTCTTGCTCTCTCTCTCTCTCACTCTATTGCCTCTCTCTTGCTCTCTCTCTCCCTCTCTATATATATTCCTCTCTCTCTCTGTCTCTTTATTGCCTCTCTCTTACACTCCCTCTCTCTCTTTATTGCCTCTCTCTTGCTTTTTCTCTCTTTCTCTATCTCTATTGCCTCTCTCTTGCTCTCTCTCTCTCTCTCTCTCTCTCTCTCTCTCTTTCTCTCTTTCTCTCTCTCTCTCTCTCTTTCTCCCTTTCTATTGACTCTCTCTCTCTCTATTGCCTCTCTCTTGTTTTCTCTCTCTCTATTGCCTCTCTCTTGTTCTCTCTCTCTCTCTATTACCTCTCTCTCTCTCTCTCTCTCTCTCTCTCTCTCTCTCTCTCTCTCTTGCATCTCTCTTGATCTCTTTTCAGCAAGATGACTTCGTCCATTCTTGTAGATTATTGTGCTTGGATACGGCAAAGGTTTAATAAAGACAAATCTGCCATTGTTTTTCAGCAAGATTACTTCGTCCACTACTAGGTCCCGATTAACTAAATTGATGGGATGTTGTAAGGTGGCTGAAATGTATTATTTGGGGATTAAGTTGGCATTGAGGAGGCTTACTAGGAAGGACTTTGCTCCATGAATTCATAAGGCTTGTGGTTGCACTTTGAATTGGGAAATCAGGCATCTATTAATGGCTGGATGGTTGACGTTGATAAATTCTATTTTGCTATCGTTATCTGTGTTTATGATGACACATATTGTTGTCCCAAGATATGTTCTTAATGAAATTATAAAGTTGTGTCCGAGCTTTTTATGGGATAAAGACGCTACTCATAAAGGCCTTCATTATGCTTCTTGATAAGGGAGGTCTCGGTTTTCATGCCAGTGTTGATTGGATAGGGCCTTTGTGCTCTCGAATTACATGGGAATTCATCAGCAAGCCTACAAATCTCTTTCAAAAATGTATGAGGCGCAGGTCTGGTGGTAACCCATGGGAGTATGAAGTGAGGAGAGGCAATTCAAACTGCTGGAAGATAATATGTGAAGGCGCTGTTGCATTACATGGATCGGTTAGGTGGAAAATCTGTAATGGACGAGATATTGAAGTGTTGAATGACATTTGGATATGGGATAGGATGATTGCAGGTTGGCCTATGTTAATGCAAATGAAAATTTGAAGGTTTCAGATTTTATTATAGAGGAAAGTGGCTGGGACAGACCGAAGCTTTTGCTCTGTTTCGGGGAGCTGATAGTGGATAGAATTTGTGAAATTCCTATTGATTGCGGGATGGAATCTGATTCTCTTGAAGTGATTAAGAGCCCGTTATGTTCAACTATATCAGTTGTTGTTTATAGTAGAATTTTTCAAGAAGAGGATGATCCGGTGTGCACAATTTTGAAGTTTGGGCTGAGGCCTTGTGTGAGATTATTTTGGTGGAGGATTTACTAAGATATTGTCCCAACAAATTCATGGTTGTGTGGATGTGGCTTTCCGGTTGTATCTAGCTGCTCTGTTGGGTGCAATGAACGGGAGGATATAGATCATATTATGTGTAGATGTAAACAACTTCTGGAGGTGTTGGATGTGTTGGAAAAATGGGGATTCTGTGCTCCCTGGTTTAGCTCATTTTAGGAGCTACAAACGTCATTTGAGAAAGTTGCTGATGGGAAGAAAGTTTGGGTGATGATTTACTGTGAGGCCGTCCATCATTGTTGGAATAATAGAAATACTCTTAAATATGGGAAAGGTTGCTGTTCTTCAGGAGCTATGGCTGCCAGCATTCTGGGAGTTCTTAATCGAAGTCACTTTTCGATGCATCTGGAGCAACGAGATAATTCTAAATCCTTTGGGATTGTGTACTGTGTCGTTTGGTGCCCGCCCCCCCTATAGGTTGGTTGAAAATAAACTTGGATGGAGCTTGCATAGATCGAATGCGGGTGGTATTGGTATGTCATTCGTGATAATGATGGAAGGTTAATTGTTGCGGCTGGGTGGAGTTTAACATATTGGGACAACACACTGGTGGAGCTGTTGGTTTTTCGTTACATAGATAAGCTCCTCCTCGAATGGATGTTTGATTTTAATGGGGTTGTTATAGAGGAAGATAATGCTAGTTTGATTAAGCATATGCAAAATTTTACATATATGGAGAAGTGGAAGCTGCAGCCGATGGATGGTGTGGAGCTGAACTGGATAAAGGTTGTTTCAAAAAGTTTTATTTGTGCATACCTACAGAACGTTCAACAGAGTGGCCCAATTTTGTGCATAGTGGGCTATAGATAGTTCTTTTTTGCTGGGATATAGAATATAACTTTAATAATTGTATTCCTCGAGATTTTTTGGATATTCTTGAGGTAGTGGCTTTTCTTTTTTTGAGGGACCGGTTGGTCGTTAGCTCTTTTACTTTTAGCATGTACTAGCCATTTTTAGATGAATGCAAATGCAAAAGTTCAGTTCTCTCTCTCTCCCTCTCTCTCTTTCTATTCCTCTCTCTCTCTCTATCTATATCTCTCTCTCTCAATCTCTCTCTGTCTCTCTCTTTATCCTTCTCTCTCTCTCTCTCCATCCCTGTCTCTCTCACTCGCTCACTCTCTCTCTCTCTCTCCATTTCTCTCTCTCTCTCCATTACTCTCTCTCTCTCTCTCTCCCTATCTATCCTTCTCTCTCTCTCTTCGTCCCTCTCTCTCTCC